AAAAAAAAAAAAAAAAAAAAAAAACCCACAGTTTTCTCTGTGACAACTGAAAATTTCATCGGCACCATGAATGATGCACCTCCCCCCATTGAAATTCCATGAACAAGTGCAACCTGCGATTGATATGAGCAGAAAAGCCAAAGAACTCAACTTAACCAAACTTTTTAAGGGGAAAAATATGTCTTAATAGACATGTTTCTCAACGATTCTTGTATAATAGGTTTAGAAAAATCATTACGTGGATTTTCTTATAGGTGTGGATGTGATAGCAGAGCCAATACATTCGGTAGACAACTTCAAGGCATGAATCCCCTGTCAAGCACGATGCATAAGAAATCTAAATCTAACGTAGTGATCATTGAAATTTAAGCATCGAAATCGTTGTTCTCATTCCCATCCCACATATTCTAAAGAGCTATTTTGTGAGGTCCAATATCGATTGGAGTGGAGAACGAAACATTCTCTAAAAGTGTGAGAAAATCTCTCCCTAGCATACGCGTTTTAAGAGGGAAAGCTCAAAAGGTAAAGCTATCTACTAACAGTGGCATCATCGTGTTTCAAAAGGAAACGAGCACCTACTTGTATTCCTGCCATCAAAGAACATCTTTAAGTCTCCACCAGCAGAAAAGGCTCGACCAGCTCCCTGTTTAAGACACATGAAGATGAAATCATAAAAGAAAACTTATGATTCTTATTTGTTTGGATTGTCCTATCATGCCCGTAGTTTGAAGCATGGATGATAGAACTGACCTTAAAAACTACAAGTTTTGCTTGATCGTCATTTTCCCATTTTTCTAAGTATTCAGCCAGAAGAGAAACCTACACGCAAACACAATCAGAGAGAAGCGAAAAATGCTAGAACATCACAATTTTTTAAGATAAATTTACGCACCACTTTGGATGAGATGACATTCAATTGTCTTGGCCGATTCAATGTGATCAACCTAACATGCCCAGATTCTTCTCCTAGAACAACCTGAAGGTTGATTTCGCGCATGCATTTAGTGAATGAAAGAGTGAGAAACTTCCACAAATTTACGAGAAAGCAAGTAAAATGATTAAAAACAAATAATAAAGTGTCGCAATCCAGAAAGTCACAGATGAAGTCAAGAACTACCTCCTCGTTTGGGTTAACAACTTGCTGCGCCATTCTGAACTCGAAATTCTGGATTGAAGTTCGCGAAATGAGCAATCAAAAGCGGCGGCAGGCGATCGGAAGAAACTGAACAAACAAAGGCAAATGGATCGAAAGAAACATAGTGAAATTGCAGAAATGTTGCTTAAAAATGGTGGAGACTGGTAGGCCGCCATTTCCGCTCTCACCTACCACCCACCAGGCAGTAAAATCCCACCTACCACAACTCAAATTCTAGTGGTAAGGTCATATTATGGAGGCTGCTCTATTGCAATTTACAACAGGAGGCTTTGACCTTTTGTCGACCACCTACTCGTTTTGTTTTCATTGTTGAAAATGATCCACGAGTAAAATATCTCGAAACAAATAATTAAATCAAAAGAAGAAGTAGGTGGAATCTTAACCATTTGTCTCTTTTGAACAACCTTAACCATTTATGTCTCTTTTGAAAATCATTTGTCCATTTCGAACAAAAGAACCTTAACCATTTATATCTCATTGGAACGAACAAATGAACCTTAAACATCTATACGAGGAACTTGTAACATATATATATCATCAATTTAAAATTGCACAACCCATCTTCTAAACTTCTTCAATCAACGGCTAACAAATCTTACTTACTCAAATTGGTATGCAATTCTATGGCTAAACACGGGCAACCGGGGAAGAAGAATCTGGGACTTGTGCTGGTGAAGAGAGAACGGTCAACCGAGAGTCCGGCGACTACGGCGGCTCTATGGTTAAATGGTCCGGCGAGAATGCCTGCCATGGGTAAGCTCGGCTAGGTTTACATGTGAATAAGACCAAAGCTTACATCAAGACAACAAAATTTGCTTTATATCAGTCCAACCAAAATTGTGAATCTCATCTCAGTCTCCAAAACAGAGAAATAATTGTGCTACAGAAAAGAATGGTTTGGCAGAAATTTCATCTAATTCTCTAAGTAAATCTATACCCATATCAATAATTAAATGAAAGATGAACACAATTACATAAACAAGTTGGGTTTAGATGCTTTGTATGTTGTCTTCAGCTTCCTGGTGGGTGGTCTCACCTTCTTAAACACCAAAGGGAATTTGATCTTTGAGTCATGAAACTGCTTCGTACTTTCCCTCTTGCACAGTTTTGCAGGAACAGTTGCTGTCTTGATGATTTGGATGCATGGGCACCTCACCCTATGGCGAGAAGCCATCTCGTTATACATTTGTTCGACAGCCCCGTTCAGTGTCGTATCCCGAAACTCCTTGTACATGTTGTGATAACCAGTTCGACTCTGATACCGCAGCCAAATACCGTAGTTCTTGATCTTGGTTGGGTTCTTTTCAAAAATCTACGAATTGCAAAACGAATTTGAGATCATTGATTTAGAGCATGGAGGCAACAGTAAGGGAGGAAACTAAGGAATAGAAAAGGGATGCTCACTTGCAGCCAAGAATCTTACATGAAACAGATAGAAGTAATTGTGGGAACCAAACAATAATATGATCTATTTATATGAAATTCTAATAGCATTCTCATTTAACATCAAACACAGTTATCTGATTCCCCGACATTCTATTCTCATACATTGTATTTTTCTAGCATCTTAAACAAAACATCCAACCAAATAAACCCTTAGGAGTGTAACTATTCAAATGGAATGGCAAATGCTCCCATTATACTTATATCTCATCCGAAAAAAACATAAATATGCATACGTATTCTAGAAACTAAGGAAAACTTTAGAAGAAACGCACACGCTTTATGAAACGTACAACAACGTAGCAAGCATACATCAAGACTTGAATGAACCCGCTATGTTCTTTTTCCATTCGGAGGAATGATATTGAAAAGTTTGTATATGAAATAGAGGAGTTCGTAGACAAAAGAAACCTAACACATTTGAGTTGAGCAACAAAAAAGCTGAAACTAGCTCAATTGACTACTGGCATGGTCGCACAAAAAAGACATAATATATAGAAGCGTGTTCTAGGCCCAATACCTCGTTGATGGCAAGAACTTGACCATTGCTCTTCTTGACTTTCTTCAACTTCCTCAAAAAGTACCTATCAGTGTGAGGATCAGGAAATCAGGATAACAACTTCAATCCATTTGAGACGAACAAATTTGAATTTTGAATTTGCAATGTGTATGAAAACATTTTTTCAGTATGTTTTTCTTGTCTTTCTTAAGGACTACTTTGAATTCTGAACCAATTCTCAAAAAACAGAAACAAGTTTTTGAAAACTAATCATTTTTTGCTTTCAAATTTTCTCTTGGAGTTTGAAATCATAGGTAGAAATAGAACACAGTAAATGACAGATCCCTGAATGAACAAAATACATCTTCCATCTAATGAGTCATGCACTTCTATGAATTTGCAAAAGGAATGATACTGTACAACTTAAATGCACTGATGAACAGTAATATGAAAATTTAAGAACTGCTAAACTAGGACTACAGGATCAAGATGAACATAATTATTCAAACTCCCAGTAAACAAGCAAAACGATGATAATACTCGACGGATTAAACAGCATACCAGAACTTGGATTTGGCTCGGACCTCGTTGGTAGCCCAAAGCTTCATCCGATAAATCTTGGGATGCTCATCCGCTTCAGAAGGAAGAGCCCTCCCCACGACCTGGTACTGATGAAACTGCTTTCCGTGAAAGCAAGGGAGAAAACAAATGAAAAACAGATCAAAATCATGCAAATTCACTTCCAAATGGATTAAAAGAACCGAATGAACAACTGCAACGCATTCTTTTACAACTGTAACTCATTCTTATCAGACATGAAAATGTTCAGAAAAAAAAAAATGTAAAAGAACAACCGACTAGATTTGAGTGTCCATGAAGCAGATTCTTACCCTGAATGAGACCATTTTGCACTCGATAATCTGAGAGAGATCGGCAACGTGCTTTGAGCTGGTTCTCTCCACAGCGCTACGCTCAGTAAAACCTAAACAGATCTGCTTCGCAATTGGGTCGCACGAGTACTGGACCGGCCCGGCCCATTTGAAATGCGTCTGTGTTTTTTGTTTCCACCAGAATTTTCATATACGTCTTTTTTTTTTTTTTTTTTTTTTTGAAATAATACAAAATTTTAGATTTTTTTTATTAATATTTATTTTATTTTTTTAATTATAAAAAGTTTGAATTTTGTGAAATTAGTCTTAATTTGAGTCCAACTCATTTTATATAAATATATTTACGTGTTAAATAATATCATAAAGTCAAATAAAAAATAATAATTAGTTATCGTCTAGTAAAAAATAATGTCTCATATTTTATGTGTGTATATGTCGACATATTATGAGATACGAGAATATATAACTAAATTAAAACTTTAAATATTGAGAGACCAAATTGTAACTAACTATAATTATACAACTAAAATATAATTTAATCAATTCGTTATAGTTCAATTATGACATTATCGAAATATTAAAAATTTCAAACTTTAAACTAGCCATGAACTATCAATACAATAAAATATCTAACACGTCGACTTATCAACCTTTTTGGTTTAATGTTTATTTGACAAATCGCTCAAATGTTTATATGAGAAAATTAGTTTTTGATGGTGATGTTTGATACTGTTTACCGTTTTGTCAACACGAGCATGTCATATTCGTTGAGGTCCTCAAACTTATGTCTCCAAATATATATATATATTGCAATTATTCCTTTTTTTTTATTGAGACTAACAAATTTTAAAAATTTTGTAACGTTTTTATATAAATTTAGTGTTCATAATTCATAAAAAAAATTATGGAGATTTTTTTAACAATTTTGAAAATACTTTTTTTATATGAAAAATATTATTACTATTTATTCATTTTTTTATTAAATTATATTCAAATTAAAACTAATTAAGTCGAAAAAGTAGCAGAACGAATGAAATGGAAGACTTGGGTGGTATTTAACAAAATAATAATAATAATAATAATAATGTTGTTAACTTGTTCTTTTTTTCCCACAAAAACATTTGTATGCTCTCCTCTCTCGAGAAAATTAAATTATTAACACTAAAAAAATTAATAATAATACAAGAAAGAACAGTGTTCTTCTACTTCTAAGATTAAGATTATGCTTAGAGATGGAATTAATTAAACGTCAGCGCATCTCATCGGCGCAAACCCCAGTCTCGAGTTCTTCGTATCGTACAGTATGTGAAAATTCTGCTGCTGGTAATTTCCGATGATCGACAGAGCCGATTTTGGAGTCCCTAACATCGCCAAGCAAACCATATCGAATTGCTCGATTCTGATGAAGTAATTCTCCACCGGGAATTTCCACACGGCGCCATCGGCGAACTGGATTTCGAATTCTGGAAATTCAAGTTTATCAGCGCTGGAGACGTTGTAGCAAGGATGTAAGATCGGAAAATCTTCAACCAGTTTATAGTTCTTTACTTTCCTCAGGAATGCTTCTTTGATGATTCGGTAAGCCGGATCGGAGAAATAGCTGAGAGTTGTGCCGGAATCGATGATTGTTCCGCCGGCGCCGTCGGCGGAAATTTTCCAGTTCTCCTCGGGGATTTGGAGCTTCTCTCCTCCGACGAAGATCGATTTGATTTGCAGATAGTAGAATGTGTCGACTGGATTTTCCTTTCCGCCGATTAGCGATGTGAATTTCAGTTCCGGATGAGTTAATAGATCTCTGTCTTCGCCGAAAATAAGTTTGCTGCTCACGCTCGTATCACTGTTTCGATCAACAAGACAGTAGGAGAAAGAATGGCCGTAGAGCGATTGAAGCTGCGATGAAAACGAGAGAGGTCCTCGGCCAAGCCCTAAAAGTCCGGCGGCGCCATGGAAGAGGCCTCTGTTCCAATGGCCGCATCCGAACATCACATTCTCCACTCGCCGAAACTCCGACTTCCGCGTCGTCGACGAGGTCAGATTGACGGTGAACGTCTCGAGCGCGAAATCGCCAGTGGTGTTCGAACTGTCGCCGTACCAGTAAAAGTAAGGGCACGATTGCGTCTCGGATTTGCACGGCTGCGGAGGATCTGGAGACGAAACTAATTGACATCGAGGATCCTTACAGGTTATGTTTCTGAAAGAAATTGAATCTTTAGGGTCGTAATAAGGCCCCGTTTGCTCGAAACAATCGTGACAAGGAACACATTGAATCCAGTTCAAATCGCTACCGGTATCGAGAATCAGAGAGAAATGTTTGGGCGGAGAACCGACGAAGACATCGATGAAGTACTCACCAGAGCCAAGACTAACGCCGGATTCAAGAGTCGCCATAAGCTGACCGGAGAAGTAGCCGGAGTAAGAATCAGGCGAAGCGGACGGAGAAACCGCCTCCGCCGGTTTCCTCCGCTCAGCATTGCCATTCTTCAGTCTCGAAGTCGTATCTTGATTCTTCCTCTCCGTGATTCTCTTATGAAGCGTCTGGATTCTCGCCAAATCCCTAACTGCAGATTCAGTAATCGATTCCTTCGGTTCGGTCACTCGACTCGTTGACCGCTTTTTCAAGTGAAGCTTCACCGATTTCTTCACCGAATTCGCCATAAACCTCTCTTCCTCTTCTTCATCTTCATCTTCATTACTGAAACTACACGGAGCACTCGCCGAAGAAGAAGCAATACCAGAGCTAATATTTTCCGGCAATTCGATTCCGAAAACACCAGACCGATTGGACTCGTTGAATCCTTGACGAACATGCGCTTCAGCAATCGTAACAAATACGCCGGAAAAAAGCAAGAGGAAAATCAATGCAAGATACACACTGCAATTTTGAAAACCTCTAGTACTGCCTGATTGTTTTCCGAGAAAATTCATTACGCGTCACCTCAAACGAGGGATGAAGAATCAAGCAATTTCACAGAGCTCACAGACAACAACAAAAAAATCAAATCCAGAAAGTGAAATCGAAGTGAAAAATCAGATTCACAAAAATTACACAGAAATCAAGAACAAACCAGACAGGAATTGTGAAGACCAGGAGGCAAAATCCTGAAAATGAGATGCCGCGGAAGCAGGGAAGAGAGAGAAGGAGAGAACTTAGAGAGAGAGAGAGAGAAAATGGTGGAAATTAAAGGGAAGAACTAAAAAGATAGGGATTTGTAATAAATACGGGAGAGTTTATATTTGATTCTAAGGGGCGCAATTCAACTCAACACAACAAGCTTTTATACAAAATTCGAGAAATCCAATTTAATTTATAGATATTAAAATATATATATATACACACAAGGAAGTCAGTAATATAAAATTATTTTCGGGTATGACGTGGTCACCAGTTTGGATGTGGCATTGATTCTTTCGTGTACCCTCTCATTTACTTGGGTATCACGTGGTCACTAGTTTTTATCTTGGTTCATCCCCGAGTCACATCTTGCTATAAAGATACCACTTTGATACCATTTATAATCATTCGTGCCTAAGATTCAATCCAAAATTAAGGAAGAAATATTATTTTATTTTGAATTAAATTTTCCATACAATAATGTTTTATTTATTAAATTAGGTTTGAATGAATACTATGATTTACAAATTTTTTATGTTTTTTTTTTTATTTTCTAATTTTCAAATATCTAATACGTTAATAATTTTTATTTTTTTTAAAATAAAATTTTGATATATTTGAAATCTCAACAAATTAATATCTACTAATTATAAAATTTATATTGACGATAAAAATTTGACTAATAAATACCATTGACGATAAAAAGAATTGAAGAAAAAAAAAGAAAAAAAAGAGCTCAACCAAAACTCGCTTCCCTTGTCACCAAGCTCTAGACTTTGACCGGTCTATTTTATTTTCATATTTGACCGCTTCCCTTTTTATTTTTATTATTTATTATTTTCAATCTCCCATTTTAAATTATTATTAAGCTAAATTAATAAAAATAATCTACCTTTACTATTTAATAATATCCAAAACTTTTAACAAAATTAAAAAATGCTTTTAAAATTTTAATGGGTTTACTTTTAAATTTTTTAAAATTTCAATAATATAATATTATGTTTTAAAAAAATTTATAGAATTTTGAAATGTACATTTAAATTATTACTATTAATATATAAATAAATTATTTATCGACAACTCATAGATTATAATAGTATTTTATTTTTCTTTTTAGACAAATTTACAGTATCTTAATTTGTTTATTTAGCTTTATATTATATTACTATTATTTCAAACTCAAAATTTAATTTTTTATCCATATAAATTTAAATTATCTATTTAATTTTAAAAACTATCAAACAAATCTATAAATCTTTTAATTTATATCTATTTAATCTATTAAGTTAAAAAAATACAATAAAATTTTCAATTTTATTTTATCTATTTTTTAAATATCAATATTTATGGATCTACTAAATAAATTAAAATTTAATAAAATATGTCTTAACTTTTTGTTTAAAATGCTCTAAGTCATCCTTGATTAGACCTCGTCAACTAAAACTGTGAATGTTTGCTGAATCCACCGCACCTAAATGGTGTGAAAGTTATCTTATTTATAATCAAATAAATTACAAGAATATGAAAATAGTAATAAATAGAAATAACAATAAATGGAAAGATATAAGGCAAATATATATATTTGCCTTATAATAACATATCAAATATAATATATATGGTAAACTATACTTTATTACTAAATATCCTTAACAATATTAATTTTTTATCAATATAAATTTAAATTATCTATTTAATTTTAAAAACTATCAAACAAATCTATAAATCTTTTAATTTATATCTATTTAATCTATTAAGTTAAAAAAATACAATAAAATTTTCAATTTTATTTTATCTATTTTTTAAATATCAATATTTATGAATCTACTAAATAAATTAAAATTTAATAAAATATGTCTTAACTTTTTGTTTAAAATGCTCTAAGTCATCCTTGATTAGACCTCGTCAACTAAAACTGTGAATGTTTGCTGAATCCACCGCACCTAAATGGTGTGAAAGTTATCTTATTTATAATCAAATAAATTACAAGAATATGAAAATAGTAATAAATAGAAATAACAATAAATGGAAAGATATAAGGCAAATATATATATTTGCCTTATAATAACATATCAAATATAATATATATGGTAAACTATACTTTATTACTAAATATCCTTAACAATATTAATTTTTTATCAATATAAATTTAAATTATCTATTTAATTTTAAAAACTATCAAACAAATCTATAAATCTTTTAATTTATATCTATTTAATCTATTAAGTTAAAAAAATACAATAAAATTTTCAATTTTATTTTATCTATTTTTTAAATATCAATATTTATGGATCTACTAAATAAATTAAAATTTAATAAAATATGTCTTAACTTTTTGTTTAAAATGCTCTAAGTCATCCTTGATTAGACCTCGTCAACTAAAACTGTGAATGTTTGCTGAATCCACCGCACCTAAATGGTGTGAAAGTTATCTTATTTATAATCAAATAAATTACAAGAATATGAAAATAGTAATAAATAGAAATAACAATAAATGGAAAGATATAAGGCAAATATATATATTTGCCTTATAATAACATATCAAATATAATATATATGGTAAACTATACTTTATTACTAAATATCCTTAACAATATTAATTTTTTATCAATATAAATTTAAATTATCTATTTAATTTTAAAAACTATCAAACAAATCTATAAATCTTTTAATTTATATCTATTTAATCTATTAAGTTAAAAAAATACAATAAAATTTTCAATTTTATTTTATCTATTTTTTAAATATCAATATTTATGAATCTACTAAATAAATTAAAATTTAATAAAATATGTCTTAGCTTTTAGTTTCAAATGCTCTAAGTCATCCTTGATTAGACCTCATCAACTAAACCCACCTTTAAAATACGTGAAATTACTTAAATACCCCCACCTCGGACATTTGGATGCCAAACCAAATTTATTGGTACTGTGAGCATATATATTAATTAATTCATCGAAAATTAAATGAAGAAATTCGATAATTAATTTTAAATAATTTTCTTCCTCATTAGTGACGAGGGAACAATTATTTTAATTTCAATAAATGAATAATTTTTAAAACAAAAAAATTTTCATTTAATTAAAAACAGAAATAATTTCCTGAGTTTTTATTTTTTATTTTGTTGTCCCACAGATGACATTAAATGGGCCGCTTTTTTTTCATTACCATTGATTTTTTTAAACACTTTTCACAACAATAATAATAATTACTTTAAAAAATAAATCATGAAATATAAATAATAACATAAAGGAGTAAAAAAAAAATACATTTTATTTTAAGTCATTTTATTCTAGTTATAATTATAAATACTACCTTATATTGTGATATAATTTATACTCTTGGATATTAATTAATTAGATAAATAGAAAAAAAAAATACGCGCTTATTTTTAAATAATTTATTGAAAATCAAGAAAAATATTTAAAAAAAACAATATATTATTAATGTTTTTGACAATAAACATATAACAAAACGAAAACGTCCGAATACATAATTTCGTAATATTTCAATACCAATATGTGTATAGTTTAACTGAACTTTTTAAATATTTGAAGGTACGTAGCATAATTAATTATTTAAATAAATAATAAAAATTTAAATTTTGACTTAAAATTATTAGTTACATTGAACCGGTGTATCCAGAAATTTCTATGGGAAAAGGTGACAGGCTTGCTTCCAAAACATGGACTCCATTTTTCTCAACGACAGACGCCAAATTGCCATACGAAAATAAGAACAGCAAAAACATGGTGCAAATAAACCAAATAAACTAACAAAACACATTGGATTGGCTGTCTGCCAATAACAATCGAATGCCATGGAGCCTTCGAATATTATTCTTATCGTCGTACTTGTGTGGCGTGGCGTTATGATTTTAACACGCTCACGACAAGTTTTGAAGGAAAACTCAAGCTTCATTTATGTTTTTTTGTGCGATTTTCTTGACTAGTTGTCAAATTTTCTGTGATGTCCCACATTGGTTGAGGAGGTGAACAAACTACCATTTATAAGAGTGTGGAAACCTTCCCCTAGCGCGTTTTAAACCCTTGAGGGGAAGCCCAAAGAGGACAATATCTGCTAGTGGTGGATTTGGGTCGTTACAAATGGTATCAGAGCCAGACACCGGACGATGTGCCGCCTTGGCAGTGTACTAGTAAGTTCGGGGGTAGACACGAGTTGGTGTGCTAGTAAGAACGTTGGCCCCAAAGGGGGTAGATTTGGAGTGACCCCACATCGATTGGAGGAAGGAAAGAGTGTCAGCGAAGGCGCTAGGACCCGAAGGGGGTGGATTGTGATGTCCCACATTAGTGCCTTGAGGGAAAGTCCAAAGAAGACAATATCGGCTAGCAGTGGATCTGAAGGGGGTGGATTGTGATGTCCCACATTGGTACCTTGAGGGGAAGCCCGAAATGGAAAGCTAAAAAAAGACAATATCTGCTCGCAATAGATCTGGGTCATTACATTTTCCTACCTGCATTATATACTATTAAAGTCATGATTGTTGCTGGTTTTTTTTTAGCCTATAACATTGATTTCTTTTAAATTGTTTTTATCGTGTTTTAAAATATTTGATGTGAAGTTCGAATCTCACAAGATTAATTTGTTCACTGGATTAAAACAAGTACCGCACAATCACTGCTCTACTGTAACAAGAATACAATTGTGACACGGTATGCTTGGTTTTCTAATAAAGAAAAAAACAGTAGAATTTCGAGGACGCTACCCACTCCTGACGTGGGTCATTGGATTAGCGTAAACTTTGACTAGAACTCGATTGTAACATGTGAACGGATGTAGAGGATTCCAACTTTGACCCAGCTTCCTTTTCTCTCCTTTGACTTTGAAAAAAATGGAATTTTAAGGGAATAAGAAAGAAATAAAAACCAATGCTTTTCTTTCTTGCCTCTTGTTCTTCCTTCTCTTCCTCGTTTCGTTGGAAGATGACTCTCACGTGGGTCCAATTGAATGTCTTTGGTCTAATTTATGATGGAGTACAAAAATAAAAATAAAAATAAAAATAAAAATAATAATAATAATATTATTATATATATAATAAGAAATCAAAGTCGAATTGTTAGTTCATTAGTTGACGTAATATACACCTA